CCCATTGGGATACATTGCTAATTGGACAGATTCAGCAACTTTTTATTCTTGGATAATACTGATAGATTTATTTCCTTAAGATTTGTCAGTTGCTTTTTTTTTTTTTAGCAAAAATGGAAAATTTGGGCCCTTACATAGTATTAACAAACATATTTGTTTATAGAGAATTTATCAGTTCTGTATTTAAAAAAAATAGTTTAGATAAGTTTCAGTTTTCTGAAACCACAATTTTAAGATGAAGTTTTAGCTTCATTCAGTTAATGTTTAGTTGGATAATCTTATTTTAATAAATAATCATATCAGTGTGTTTTGTGAATTCGATTAAGTACTAGGTCAGAATTATGGTATTAATGAAATTTTATTTACTACAGATAATACTTGACTTATGACTGGTCATTTTATGACCATTCAGAGTTATAATGTCCTTGGAATAGGTGCTGTAGGACCTGTACAACTAAATCGGAAAACTGTCACCCCCGCCTAGTGGTTTCCTGACCACATTTTGGATGCTTGGCAACTCACTCACCTTATCTCGCCTCACCTTACCTGGCCTTACCTTATCCTATCTTTCATATTTGTATGGCTGCCCACCTCACAAAAGCATGACTTGGGCAGCTTACAAACAAAATCAATATATAAAAACAATCTCCCCATCTAATGGGTCCAGCCTCCCTGCAGTTGGATAGTAGGGCTGAAGAAACCCATGGTAATTAGATGTCATCTGATCATAACAAGGGAGATACCAAAAGCTCCCCCAAATCACATAGCCATTGCCACAACAGATCCAGTGTATGCATGTCAGGCTCTGGTTAATCTGGAATAGATCCATGGTCATTATGGTGACCATGCACCCCTGAGCCACTTCAGATCCCACTCCTTGAAATTGAAGTTCCCCAAATCTGGAGAACTCAACTGCCAGCCCAGAAATGTACTCAAGAAGCTCAAGCAGAAAAGTTACTGTGCTGGGGGACTGGTACGACAGCTGCAATTCTGACTAATTCCTAGAGCCCAACTTAATGAACAGAGTCTCACATATGATGACCTGTAGTGCAATGCTCCCGAAGGCTGTAAGAAATTCCTGGATGACATTCACCACTCCTGCACCAGCTCATGACATGCCCAAAACCCAGGTGGGCATATCTGCAAATGGACTTGCTCCCCTTCTTGGCCCAACCAGGTCTCGGTGATACCATGTCAGGAAGGCCCTCTCATCAGTGATTAAATCATTAATTAGGTAAAAAGACCTATTTAAGGTAGGGGAGTTCACAGTAGTCTGCCACTCTACCGCAACCTTCCCCGGTCTCTGGCACTGTCCGCACTTCCAAAGCCACAGCATCCCACAACAAAACAGATGGTAAGCTCCTTAAACACTACCATCTTAGTCTGTCGTCCAGCCTACTCCTCCAGGAAGCAGCCCAAACAGGTTCTTTCAATAGCAGATTACTCAGGAAAGCCAGACCAGTCTGAGAGAGCTGTCACCAATTTTTTTAAAAACTACCTAGATCAGGGGTGTCAAACTCAAGGTCCATGGGCCGGATGTATTCGAATCCGGCCCATAGGGCCATCCTGGTTTACCCAATGCGAAGAGGAAAGGTCAGGCCAATGTAGCTTTGGCCCGGTCTACCTAATGCGAAGAGGCCAGATCCACCCAGTTGGCCACGCCCACTTGGCTCCCCAAGGTCAACCACAGCTCTGATGCGGCCCTCAATGAAATTGAGTTTGACACCCCTGACCTAGATCACAAATGTGGCAAACATTATTGTCAGAGTAGGCATGGTCAGCACCATAAAACAAAATACACTGCCATCCTCCAGCACAATTCTTCAGCCCAAAAAATCCGAATTGAGTCAAGCAATCCAACTTCAGCTATTTCAACTTCCCTTCAGGCAAATGCCACTCCAAAAACATCCCTTGAATTGCACATGCAGCATATAGCTTACACAGCATACAATTACAAGAACAATTGCTCCAAAGCTTTCACACACTCCACTATCTCAACCACTCATCTCCTTTCTCAATTTTACATATTTATCTTGATAAGTCAAACCAAATGTTTTACCCTTAAATGCTGATAGGAAAGGACCTCTAACTGAAAAGCACAAACTTTTTCCACAGTATCTTCTAATGCATAAATTGGAGAGCAGAAATTTGCTGAGCTTTTTATTTTCTTAAATTGGTTCTCTTCCCGTTGGTCTTTTTTGGTCAGATTTTATAACAGCTGAAACTTGGAAAGCTAAAAGTAAGGAAGAATTGAGAGGAGAAAAAGCAGGAAGGGAACAAAGAATTCAAAGGATTGAGGGACAAATTGAACAATGGGAAAATAAATGTAAGGCTGTTTAAATAAAGTTTTGTTTAAATGGTTATATAGGTGAAAATATAATCAAAATAAATTAACAATAAGGCATAGTGTCATTGGTACCAGTGCTTATTTAATTAGGAACTATAACTATCAAACTTTATTTTTAAGCCTATAAACAATTTTTAAAATTGACACTGTTCACATTTAGTTTTAAACCATCTTTTTGACAAGTTGAAGAAGGTATGTTTTTTAAAATCTATAAATAAAATACATAGTTTATAAATTTCAGGGCAAATTGCCCTGATTTGTTGTAATGCTTATTGGGAAAAATTTCTGCTCAGTACTCTTAACAGAAAAGATGTACAGGTAATTCTTGGTTAACAATCACATATTCAGTGACTGTTCAAAGTTATGACAGCAGTGAACAAGGAAGTCTTGTGACTGGTCCTCAAAGTTTTGGCCTTCCCAATACCATACAGTCACATGATCGTAATCTGGGTTGTGCTTAATAGGGTTGCAGCATTCCACAGTCACAGGATCACCATTTGCAATCTTCCCTGTTGCTTCCCTCAAGCAAAGTCAATGAGGAAGCTAGAAGGTTGTAAGTCTCTTCCGTAAGTCTCCCTCACCTGGCAGCAACCATCCCTAACACAGCTACACTGGCCTCATTGGCCACTTACATACCCTCTCCAGCCAAGCAACAACCATTCTTAGTTTTGCCATGGCTCACCAGCCAACTACCCATTCTACCCATCTGGCAGAGTCACTTACCTGTTTGCCAGCCTGCTTGTAAATATTTGGGACTTGCAACTTCCTGACAACTTCCCCAGTGATTTTTGCTTGCTAGAAGCAAAGTTGCAAAGAATTCTTCACCTAATGACCTGTGATCCTTGCTTAACAATGGAAACAGAAACTGCCAGTATTGCATTACTAAGCAATGTAGTCATATGATATTGTGTTTTACAACCATGTTGCTTTATAATAAAACATTTGGTCCCACTTAACTGTTATTAAGTGAGGACTACCTGTACCAGCATCAGTGAAAGCATGCATGTGGGTTTTCAAAAAGTAGTTCTTTATATCATTTCAGTATATCATAGATTTTCTAAAATACCATTCAGCACTTTGTTTCAAAGCAGTAGATGAATCTTACAGCAACGATGCAATAAATATATAGCATATGTGAGAAAATGTACAATGTACACCATCCAGAGAAACTCGTTGAGATGGGCAGCTATAAAAATGAAATTAAAAAAATATTACTGTCATACACAAATATCAGAACAGGTGCTAGAGGTATCTCTTACATCTGTCTAATGGTGCTATCTCCTTCACTTCCTTATATGTTCTGATCAGGCATATTGGCCTATTGTTCTTTCTTGCTCCTTGTCTAATAGAAGCAATTGCTTTGGTTTTTTGTTTTTTCATATAGTTCTGTAGATGTTATGTCAGATAGACCTTATAGTTAAGATTCTTTATTTTTTATTTTGGAAAAAAGAACATACAGTGCACTTTTACAAATACAGATATAAAAAGAAAAATAAACCTGTGTGAAAGAATTGGGTTTATATATGAATCTGTTTATGTGTGTGTGAGAGTGAGTGTGTATAATATTTTTCTGAATGTGCAGGCTTCAAACTCTGCCATTCATAGTCTGCATCTTCCCTTAGTACCTCCTCTAGTACTAAGGACTAGTACTAGTGCTAGAAATAGTGTTTTTAAGAACAAAGCATAGTTCATCTGGAACAAACCCAGAAATGGAGACTAGATAGGATTGGGGTTACTATCACATTTGCCACCTTTGATTAACATGAAATATACCCCAAAATCTGAAAGTAAGTGAAACAATAGAACTGTTGCTTCAGAAAACTGGGTTAAATTAAAACAATATTAGGAAAGCTACATATTTATTTATGGAAAAAAAGGACTGAACCTGTAGTCATATGCCTTTAAGCCAGGGGCGTCAAACTCAAGGCCCGCAAGTTGGATCCAGCCCACAGGGTGCTTAAATCTGGCCCATGGGCCTGCCCTGGAAACATTGAAGGACTGGCCCGCGGTGCCACTGCAAGTGAAAATGGAGTTCGGGAGGGCCGCACGCAGCATCCTCAAACTCCGTTTTCACTGGCAGAGGGCTGCAGGCAGCCATCGCGGCCGAAAACGGAGCCTCAATGAGTGACATCGAGCTGGCCACATCCACCCTGGCCACACACTCATGGCCCCGAGGTCAAACACAACCCTGATGCTGCCCTCAATGAAATCGAGTTTGACACCCCTGCTTTAAGCTGTCTAGCTAAGGAAAATTATTATAGAATTAATCTTATAACATTTGTATTTAAAATTTTTTTTAAAAAAAATACTTTATTATTAGGCTGTGCAAGAGCCCTTGCTCACTCACCTATCATAGTTAGAGGAAGGATGAGGCAGTTCCTACAAAGGAGGTGGTACAGGGGGAGCAATTTAGCCATTGCCCCAGAACACAAGGCAAGTCCAAGGTGTTAAAACCAGAGGGCCTAATGGAAAACACCAGCTTTCCTTCTTGTGGGGTTCAGTTACCTGGAAATAAAATTTGTTGAATATAGCTGCCCTGTGGATACACATTCAAAAATGTGTATTATGAATGAATTAACAAAATAATTCTGTGCATTTATGTTCAGAAGTGTACCCTGCTAAGTTATGTAAGGCTTACTCTAAGTAGGCTCAAAATCATAATATCAGGTGTGCTTATAACTTAGTTTAAGTAATAGATATTTCTGTTATCTTGAATACAGTAATTACTGTTGCTTTGCAGTTGGTGTTCTTTCCCGTCTGAAGCAACCCGATGGTACCATTCTTGGGGTAGAAACAAGGTCATAGATTACTTTGCAGTGGCTGTTTGTACATGATTGCAGCTTCTCATGTGGCTTTCTTGTTTTAAATGTGATCTATGAGAACTGTATTCATTATGCACATTGTGGCTGTTATCTAAATTTGGCTTTGTCTGAGATATTAATTTTTCCCTGTGCATGATCATGAATATTTGATGGTTGAACTGCTTAGAAATTAATAGTTTAATAACACATACATTAGAAAATAATGCAATTCCACTACTTTAAACAAATGGTCTGGCTGAGTGCCGACATATTTGAAGAATAAATATGGCAAGGAGATACTATTTTCTCTTACTTATATTCTAGTTCACTTTATAAAGGTAAAGGTTTCCGTGTCCAGTCATGTCCGATTTTAGAGCACAGACTTCATCTCCATTTCTTGGCCGAGGGAGCCAGTGTTGTTGAAGACATTTTCCATGGTCATGTGACCAGCATGGCTATACCCCAAAGACGCACAGAACACTTCCTACCTATTAATCTACTTGGATTTGCATGCTTTCAAATTGCTAGGTGGGCAGGAACAGGAGGTCACTCTATTGCGCAGCACTTGGATCTTTTATATGGGATCCTAATAATTCCATTAATTAGCAGTAGAGATCTTAATGCACACAGGGACTCCTTCCCCATCCAAACCAAAATTATTCTGGCATTTCATGTATGATATGCCTAGTTTACTTTATTTTCAGTCATAATAGTTATGACTGAATGAAGAATTTTTTTCCAGGATGAAATACTAGCCTTTATTTCTTAGAACATTTGATCCCAAATGTATTCAGAGACATTACTGGGAAGTAAAAGCAATAGACAGCTGGAAACAACTGCTTCATTTTGAAGTTTGATGGATAACCCAAATTGAAATGGCACAAATAACATCATTTGTATTGTTCTATAAGAATGGAGACATAGCCATGACATCATGATAGCCTTAGGAGAATTGAGAGTGACTCAGTGTAGTGGGAAGAGGTTAAAAAATGGCCAGAAGTGGTCTGGAGATGAGAAAGGATGGAAGAAGGCTTGAATTGGAAATGTGACCAAGCAACAAAAAGGATAAGGAGGCAAGGAATAGCAACTATGTGAACGATTTCCACTCTTCATAAACTTGTCCTATTCAGTGTAGATAGAAAAATTGTGAACCACTGACAATTGACACTAACATAGGAAGTGCCATTTGTTTCACTGTATTAAGCTTGTATATCATTTCATTTTGTTTTGCTTCTGTTGATATGTTGGGCCTTAGGCAACAGCTTTTTTTTTTTTTTTTTAAAAAAGACTTTTTTCCCAAAGGTGCCTTTTCAAGAGGCAACTGGTCTTTCTGGTTTTTCTTTGAAGATGTTTCGCTTCTCAGCAGCTCTTGCTGAAGCAGCTTCTTGGATGAGAAGCGAAATGTCTTCAAAGAAAAACCAGAAAGTCCAGTTGCCTCTTGCAAAAGCACCTTTGGGACAACCATGACCTGGATGACTGAGAATCTCTGTAGACAAAAGACTTATCTTTTGCAACTAAACTGTGTGAATGGAGAGCTCATATTAACTGAAGGTGATGTTGAAGAATTGTTAAGTGTTAGGGCCTGGAAGTATGTTTAGTTAACATTGTACTGAAGATTACCTTTCGAGTTGCAATCTAAGAAATTGGAAACATTCAAGTCTTCATATTTCAATATTTCAGGGACAAAAATCTGTGATAGAATAAACAACTTAAATAGAATACATAGTAGCAAATGTGTATTAGTATCTTTCCTACTTGCTCCTTAGATGAAATATGTTAATCAGTGTGAGGTGGAATACAGCAGCACATAATTAGTATGCATGATATATTGATACTGTAGGTTGCTGTTAAGCAAAGTAGTGCTAATAATACTTGTGAACTGAAAATAAATTCTAGTCTTTCAAAGTGTTCTATCATTTTAATAGCAACCATAAAAATTACTTACCTGGAAAACTAATATTAGAAAAGAGGTATATATTTAGTAGCCTTTTGATGTTAAGCAGCAGCTGGGGGAAAAAGCAGGCAGCCTGCTCAAATGATCAGCCAACTCCTCAGATCACCAACCACTTTGTGGGTCATCATTCAGAATTCTTGCTTTAATGTACTTGCAGATGAATAGAATACTTTTTACAGGGTTTTGCTAATTGTTATCTTTTAGGAATATTGCAGATTTTAGCATTTAAGCTCCATCAGTGGGTTTTCAGGGAGCTTTTTAAAATGTCAAATGATCCAGAATTGTCTACAATTATTTTTAATAGATGATTTTGTAATTCATTAGTATGAAATATTTTAATAAACCTATCAAGTGAATGGGCTATTCAATCTAAATGTCATTATAAATATTTTTAGTATAGATCTATTTTTACCATTAAAATCAGACTGAAAATTCAATTCTAATATGATTGATAGCTGTGGTTAATCAAAGTAATTCTTAAAGCATGTGACCTTTTTATACTGAAGTTTTTGCATCTATATTTGTGTCGTTCCCAGTAAAAAGAAAGTACGGAGGGATCAGTGTTGGACTTTCTGTCTAAATTTTGTACATGCATTCACACACACTCACAAACACCCAGAGACAGAGACAGAGAGAGAGAGATGTAGATAGATGTTCAAAGTCTGTCACATCTAAACTCTATATGACATGCTTAAGTTCTTGAGGGAGGACTTGAAATCTTACATTCATCTGGAAAGTACCCACCTTAAACTACATACCAATGTGAAAACCAACTGTACACAAGTAGTAAAGTTAGGCCTGACTATTTGTACTCCTCTTGTCATTTGGGAACTTTCTGGTATGGTCACCCAAAAATTGACAAGTGACAAGGACAATAGTAATACATATCTTGTGTCTGTACCTGGCAACCTGATATTTATATATCTGACTGAGGCAGATACTGGCTAGTTGGGAATGTGTACAATTACAGCTGCTTATTTTAGTAGCTCTAATTATTAACCCTTTTCTGCAACATAATGATGAACACTTGGAAGTACATGCTGTATATGGAGGCAGAGATGGTTTTCTTTAATCCTATGGTCCTTATGATATGCCACAAGTCAATTTAAATGTAAAACTGCACCCATTTGGAATTATTTATATATTTATTTACAGTTATATGTTGGGCATATGGAAACAGTAGTAAAGCATGGAACACTGGGAGGAAAAATTAGTGTTCTTCCCAATTAGAGTAATGTAGCTGATTTGTATTAAAGTAACACAATTATTTCAGTTGCTTAATATTTTATTGATGTTTAAGTTATAAACTGAAAATGAGATGAATTACTTTAATTTTTCTTCATGAATTAAGTATTCAGCTATTTATTCTTTATTCAGTAAGTGACTTTCCTAAATTAATTGTCTTTCTGTCTTTGTGATGTAGGTAACATAATCCATGGGTAAAGTTGGGAAAATGTGGAACAGCTTCAAGTACAGATGCCAAAGTCTCTTTAATCCTGAAGGTGGAAATAGAAATGAAAATGTAGACATAAATTCCAATAGTGCATCTGTTAGAGATAAAAGTGTTTGTGTGCCTGGTCCAACTCAGCAGCAACCAAGCAGTCCTTTGCAACTGAATCTAAATACTTCAAAAGGCTTTTCGAGAAAGAATCAAAACTGTGCCACAGAAATCCCACAGATTGTTGAAATAAGCATTGAGAAAGAAATTGACTTGAATGTTGCCTCAGGAGCTAAATTTGCACGAAGGGATTCCTACTCAAGGCATGCTCCATGGGGTGGGAAAAAGAAACATTCCTGCTCTACAAAAACTCAGAGCTCATTGGAAAGTGATACAAGATTTGGCTGTTCTCACTTGCAAAGGAGGGAAAGAAGATATGGTGTGAGCTCAGTTAACGATACAGATAGCATCTCAAGCAGAACCATAGGAAATCGTTCTCTGAGGCAAAGATTGCAGGAAACTGTGGGCTTATGTTTCCCTATGAGAACTTACTGCAAACAATCTAAGCCTCTTTTTTCTAACAAAAGGAAGATCCATCTTTCTGAACTAATGTTAGAAAAATGTCCTTTTCCTGCTGGATCAGATCTGGCCCAAAAGTGGCATTTAATTAAGCAGCACACCGCTCCAGTGAGCCCACATTCTGCTATTTTTGATGCATTTGACTCCTCCTTGGCTTCTACAGAAGATGAGGAAGATAGGCTGAGAGAGAGACGAAGGCTCAGTATAGAAGAAGGTGTGGATCCTCCTCCCAATGCCCAGATACATACTTTTGAAGCTACTGCACAGGTTAATCCATTATATAAATTAGGGCCAAAGCTGCCCCCTGGCATGTCTGAACTGATGGGAGACTGCAATTCAACAACACAAGGAAGTTGTGATTTGGAGGAAGACACAACTACTCTCTGCTTGCAGTCACGTAGACAAAAGCAGCGCCAAATATCTGGTGAGAGCCATAGCCACATCAGCAGGCAAGGAGCTTGGAAAGTACATACTCAGATTGATTATATTCACTGCCTAGTGCCAGACTTACTTCAGATTACCAGTAATCCCTGCTACTGGGGTGTGATGGACCGTTATGAAGCAGAAGCACTTCTAGAAGGAAAACCTGAAGGCACTTTTTTGCTCAGGGACTCTGCTCAAGAAGACTACCTCTTCTCTGTGAGCTTCCGCCGTTACAACCGCTCTTTACATGCACGCATCGAGCAGTGGAATCACAACTTCAGTTTTGATGCTCATGATCCCTGTGTGTTTCACTCCTCTACTGTTACAGGGCTTCTGGAACATTACAAAGATCCAATTTCTTGCATGTTTTTTGAACCGCTACTTACAGTTTCTCTAAATAGGACTTTTCCTTTCAGCTTGCAATATATCTGCCGGGCAGTAATTTGCAGGTACACTTCATATGATGGGATTGATTGTCTTCCTTTGCCAACAATGTTGCAGGACTTTCTGAAGGAATATCATTATAAGCAAAAGGTTAGAGTACGATGGTTGGAGCGGGAACCAATTAAGGCAAAGTGAACAGAGTTTAGAATCCCTAGTAAACTCACATTGTGATTTTTTTGTGTATGTGTTATAGTATACCACGTTAAGCACATCAGTGTTCAGCTTTTAATGTACTTTGAGCTTATTGTGTTTATGATGCTGCCTCCAGTTAGTTGTGAATAACTCTTGAAACATGAACAGAACACAAAATCACATTTTTCATCAATTTTATTTTGCCAGTTACAAAATATGTCTACTTTCTATTACAATATTAATATAAGACAGCTATTGGGCATTAACTTTTAAATTCTATTCAGTTTCATAATTCACAATAAAGTAGCTTGCTAGCTTTTTTTCTTCTTGATTAATATGAGCACTTAGATACCAAAAATTGATTCCATGTAACTGCATTCTCAATGAAAAAATATTACTTTTCATACTTCACTATCTCCTATGCCACTTTTTATATCAAAACTGTTTTAAGAGGAAAAATCATAAGTAACAGGGGAAATCACTATAACATGTCATTTCTATATTTTTAAATCATGTGCATTAAGTTCTGTACCAATATTTGGCTCCAGGATTGTCTCCAAATTAAAACATGTTAATAGATTAATCATGTGGGAATAATTAGATAATTAAATTTTCCAAAAATGAATATAAATAAAAAATAGTTCTAAAACAGGGGGGGGGGGGAATACCTTCAGATATATTGGTGGTAGATGAAACTTATAGTCTAGTAAAGAGGTCCCCAATCCACAGACTGGCACCGTGCCACGCAAGCGACGCTCCATCCACGCACATATAGGATCCAGGCAGGGCGCAAAACCATGCCCTGCCGGTCTGGAAAAAATGCCTTCCACGGAACCAGTCCGTGGTGTCCAAAAACTTGGGGGGCCTCTAGTCTAGCAGATCTCATGGATATGCAAGGGAAGTTTACCCTATCAGCACAGCAAAGGAGCAATGCCTCTTTAGATAAGTCCATATGCCATAACTTGTTTCATTAATCAGGGTCATCTTCACTCTGCTTTTTCTAAATTAACACTTTGGTATTTAAAAAAAATCCAGTAGCTTCTAATTAATCAACCACTGCAATAAATGTAGTGATTAAGCTGAACTTTGCTCTTAAATTTACAGTTGGAATTTGTGTTAACTCAGAAGTTCTTGGTCTGATCTGCAAGTTCTGTTCAAGAGACTTGTGGAAATGTAGTGTAACACTGAAGACTATCTGAACTAGATCTTGCATTTGATTTAATTTTTCTGATCATGGTGATCAAGGCCATTTTATTCTGGGTTGGATTATGAAACAGGCTAACACAACCTGGTCCAGGTTTCTGCTTTTCAAAATAGAATACTGCTACAGGTTACTGCATTTAGTAATTAAAGGGACTCTTAACAGCCTAACCTTATTCCCATTATTTGTAAAAGCATTGTTTCTGAGGATGCTAGTACTAAATAAAAAGGTTTATTCAAATATGGGTTATGTACTTCAATTGGTAGAAAATTAATTGGGATCTTATGAACCATTTAATTTATTTCAATTTGTGTGGCTAACCACTCTGATTTTTTACTTCTTCAGAAAGTATTTTTACATATCTGCTACAAACTGCAATACCATCTAGCTTAGTTATAGTTTAGACTGATCCAGAACAATTAATATTCTATCCCACTTCTATTTTCCTCTGATGCCTATTTGATGCATCAGAACAGTTGTATTTGTAAACCGTATAGCAGCTTTTTTATAATTTGCATATTGTGTTCCTCCTTAAGTGAAATACTTTGGAAAACTTGCTCTTTTGCTTTTTTTCTTTGGGAACAGAACATATCTTGTTTTGTTCTAGCTGTGTTTGCACTAAAGTTTGTATTGGAATACGGAGTCCCTTAGTTTTGCTTATGTGTCTTGTATCAGTGGGTAGTTTTCTTAGTTTCTTAACCAGTTGCGACAGTATATTCTTTTCCATGGCAGCAAATGTAAGGTGACAAACTTCAAAGCTGCATATACAAGAAAGTTATATTGTAAGCCAACAGTAACCAGTTTATCCACATATGTGTTTTTCTTCTGCTTGGTGTGCCTTGTTACAGCTTTTTGTGTGTGTGTGTGCAAATAAAGTACAATATTTTCAATTTTATTCTTGTACAATTTACTATTTTATATTTGCATAACACTTCTTGGAGCTATTAACATTTTTTGGATCTTGGAAACAGGGTCAAATCTACTTGCAGCTATATATTCCATTCCTAAAGTAGCCCCATGGCAAAATATATTTAATAAATATATTTATTTATTTATTTATTTTATTTAATAAATAAAATAAATTTAATAAATAAATAAATAAATAAATAAATAAATAAATAAATAAATAAATATAGATTCATTAGATAAACTAGCTTATTCCATAGGATGGTTGTGGTGAGACGAGTGCTATATAGGTACTGTTGCCTTGAGTTTTTGGAGGAGAGAGAGGATATAGGCCAGACAAAACTTTTAAATAATTTGCAGCTGAATTCTTGCTGGTCACGTCACCAAATCTCAACATCAATGTAATTATCTAAAATTCAAAGGACATCCATTTCCAAGTATTCTTGATATGCAGATACTAGATATTTACGGTATAGTCATCAGAGCTAAAGAACATGATATTCTCTTATTGAATGGATGCATATAGTATCTTAACTGGATCAATTTATATCACATATATTTTAGGCATGCAGCTACATTTTAGCAATACTTCATTTTGTGGAGGAAATGGATACATTTCTTTAACTGTCCATTATTGACTTAATTGATCTTCAGGGTTAAGTACTTTTCCAGTTGCAAATCTACTTCAACTTCTTGCTGCCGGCAGGAATTTTGAATTTGATTTTCCCAAACCCATTAAGATACTATTTGCTGCAGAGATGTAGGATTCCTTTCCTTGAGATAATATTATTGTTCTAGGTTTGAGCGATTTTACCCTTCAAAGTGATCTGTAGCACTATTAAAATAGAATGGGTTATTTTTTATCATTTTGTTGTTCATTTCATTTAAAAAAGCATACAATACTGGCTCCATTTTTAACAACTGGAAATTACATATTCTTCCAGAAAATTAATATTTATTTTATATTGTATGAGAAAAAGAAATAATTAGTTGAATTGAAACTGGAATGCTATATAAAGTCTGAAATTCTAAATTTTAAAACCAATATATTTTTTATTCCTTACTGTAAAAAGAAAACGGTGCTCCATTCAAATATCAGGTATTATTCAGAATAATTTCTACTGTGAATTTCTGGCAATAATATTATTGTGAGATCCTACTGATATAGTTTAAAATGCTTTTTCCGATAAACCTTTACTTATTATGTTGGTGTTTGACTTGTTAGTACAATGATTTCACTAAGAACACTGTTCTTGCATCTGATCTGGATTTTATACTATTTGGTGATGTATGTTCTTCTGTTTTTTTGAGACAGATTGACTAATAGAGACCTTTTCCTTTTAATAGCCCCAACTTGTTTGAAATCAAGTTCCTTTTCAAATATGGCATTAGTTTCCAAGAATGATGACATTGCTTTTTTTGTTGTTGTACATATATTTCTTCATAACGAATGCTCAAATAAAGTCAACCATATGCTGAAATTATCCTTAAAACAGCTGGCTATATTAGGAAAAGTGGTAAAACCTGGAAGCAGTTACCATCTACGGATTTCATGGTAAGGAGGCAAGTTACCATTGGGTCTCCAGAATTTGAGTAGCTGTCTTAGGTTTAGATGTACAGGTACAATACAATTGGACATCATCTGCATAATAGTGCCACTGAACTGCATTGGTCAATACAACCTCTCCTAGTTTCATTGATATAGAGGAGCATTTGTGAAATAGTGAAGGAACTGAAACTAAAAATTAAACCCCATTATAATGGAATTTTTTTTATTCAAACAGGCAAGCTTGCACTATGAAATAGGTTCTTACATGTATCTGTCTATTTGTGTCTGTATACATGCACACACACTATCTCTCTGTGTCATATATTATTGCTAATATTTATGTGTTTGCCAGAGCGAACTAGGTAAAATTTTAAATAAAAAAAAACATCTAACCTAAATACAAAAATTAAAATAAATGTATTGCAGTATGTGTTGGAGACATTTGGGTAAAGAGGCATGCTTTTTGTGATTTAAAACAAGGGAGTGCTGTCCACCAAGAAACATTCCTCCTGACTTATGCTGTAAGACTTATGTTTGCCTCTTGGGTGGGTGAGGTGGTATTGGACATGGCAATGTCAGCACCTTAAATTGGGCTTGATAGTTTACAAACAGCCAGTCTAGTACTTTCAGGCCCAGAGGTCCTATCTAATAATTGGATGAATGTGTTCTGTATTCATTGCAGGACCCAGACTAAGTTCAACAAGACCCCAATGCACTGTCCATTGCAATAGATTATTATATAGACCCCAGTGTTGAACTGCGTTGAAGCCACACAAACACCAAGGTGAGCTGTTCTAATTAGCACAGGCAGATATAGAGGGTAGGAGTGGGGAGAACCCATCACATTGATAGATTGGAGACAGCTAATCCAAACGGATGATCTGCTTTGGAAAGCTAATTTTGATATACAATTTAATCTGTGAAAAGTGAAAAAGAAATCCTTATTATGGAATAGCCTATTGAGATTACTGAGCCTAGTCTGTACCAGTCTACATAGTATCATAGCTGATAGAGCCAGCAAAGTTGGCTGTGAGCTCCCTTGCAGCTTGCCATCATGCGAGCTCCAGTGACAGAGCAGAATCAACTACAACCTCAAAAATATACACATTTTTCTTCAGAGGGAATATTGTCTCATCCAAAACAAACTACCTTCCTAATTGTTGAACTTGAAAAATGACCAGGCAAAGGAACTCCATGTATTACATTTGATGTCTGCATTAAAGAAAAGCTCATTAATTTGCCATACATTTTTATTTTAATAATCAAGAGTCAGTGGTCCAATGAAAGACAATGATTTGCTCTTCCATTAAGCAGTTTATTAAGAACCCTTCTCTGAATGGTGTAGAATATTCTCCTAGCCCAGAATAATTTCACAGCAATCTACAGGGCATAAGGGAAAGCATGTTGAATGACATTTCAATAACAGCAGAAACGTACCTCATGACATCTTAAGAAATATTAAAATGGTGATTATAATTGGAGTTGTTGCCAAGATGCAATATTGAAGAATCTGGAAAATTAATTGGGTATCTTTCAACAAAATTTGTTAATGTAGAAATAGAAGTTCAAACTAATGTTTTTGTGTGTCGTGTTATTATCAACTGATTCTAATGCAAGAACTGCATATAGATGGAAACTGAACTGATAACCTTCTTCATCTGGCGAGCTGCCACCATAAAAATGTGGCCGGGATACATAAGTAATAGGGAATGAACATTGTAAATGTTATTATTGTACTCCATGCAGAAATCCTTTGATGATAGTCAACCAGAAATTTATTTGCATACAGAAGCAAATTGGAGTTTTTGCAAGTGGGTACCCAAGATGCTAGGTAACGGACTCCACTTGAAGTAGGCTTCTATCTTTTTTCCATTCTGGAACATGTGCATGTACTCCTCAAATTACAACAGTTCATTTAGTGACTGTTTGAAGTTACAAAAGCACTGAAAAAAGTGATCTACGACCATTTTTCACACTTAACCATTGCAGCATCCTTGTGGTCACATGATCAAAATTCAATTACTAGGCAATTGACTCATATTTGCAATGCCTTGGGGTCATATGATCAGCTTTTGGGACCTTCTGACAAGCAAAGTCAATGGGGAAACTAGATTCATTTAATAACTGTTACAAACTTAAACAGCTTCAGTGATTCACTTAACAACTGTGGCAAGAAAGATCGTAAAATAGGGCAAAATTCACAACAAATGTTTCATTTAGCAACAAATTGTGGACTCAATTTACAGATAAATTGAGGACTACCTATACACTGCAATTTGTTCTGGAATAATTATTACACTTGTGTAGTCAGTCTTACTTATCTCAAGCTGTTTATTATTTTCAATATTTTGTTGATCATTGTGTTCAAATAAAATTATAAAATGTGGCCTTCCTCCAGAGTAGATTTAGAAAACACTCAGAGGTCTAATAGGGACGTGAGGCATTTTTTCTCCAGTTCTTTCAAGCAAAATCTTGTAAAAAAATCATTATCTGATTTCACTCTCCTCTGTTCCAGTTAAGAAGTCAATTTTTATTTTCTTCTTTGCCCTGCCAGTGATAGTAATAATCCTTCTTGATCCACCATCTTATTATTTTCCTAATGTGCTTGGGTTTATCTGTTTTCTTTAATGATCATACTTTTGTAATTTTGCCTTAAAGTCTCCTTTTGGCAGTAGCTTGCATTTTTTCCCCTTGTAAGCAGTTGCTGCTTTAATCCTAATACATTTTCCTGCCTGTTTACCATATTTGGGTAAAGAACATGTTTTTTACCAAGGTCAAGACTAGGTTGTAATCAGTGGGTGACTTGGCTTCTGTGATAGCAAATATATATTCTAGAGTAATGTGCTTAGCTGCACTTTCTCTTTGGCCCAATTTCTTCCCCTCTCCTCTTTTGTTGGCTTGGTGAATTAAGAGAGTGAAGACATACAGAACTGACCCATCTTGCAGAAGGTGTCTTTGGATCCTTTCAACTTTATCATATAAACACAGTTAAAGAGATTGAGCCTGCTGGGTTTCAGTAAAGAGACCAAATAAAACAAGTGAATGGAATCTTTGGGACAGAAATAGACTTAATGCAGAAAGCCAAAGCAACAAAATGCTTAGAGGGGCATCCAGTGTTTGAAGCACCAGGATTGGGTTTAATGCATCACAATGCAAATGGGCTTCAGTTCCAAATGACAAATTTCTGTTCCAAAGATAGACAATAATCAACCTTTTTATGTCATATATGGTCTTTGGCAGGTTGCAGTACTATTGGCATGGTTCTGCTGGAATCCTGAAAACATTGCATTTACTTTTTTTAAAAAAAACACCTTTCGAATGTAGCAAGATATTGGAACATTCAATTGTAACAAACCTAACATATGAAATGCATCTGTACCAGGTGCCACATTTAATTACTTCAGCTACATTATATGCTTTCAATGTTAGATAATTTTATTGATGGAAAGAATTTGGACACAGTGCTTGGAATTCCACTGAAACACTGTACCATGCTACTGTACCATGTACCACGCTACTAAATTATTTGTTCCTTCCAACTTTGTTGAGAAAAGTCTTAACAACAGAGAGACAACAGCAATAATTCCCTTGCAAAAAATCTGAGAATTCACATTAGCGGTAGCCAGTATAGTCTCTCTCCAACACTACGAACTGGAAATTACAGCATTACAATAATGATGCGCTCATACCCTAGGCCTAGAGGGTTCTATGTAGCTTGGCTTTTTCACCAATATATTCCATTTAAAAAATGGGTAGCTTACATTCTCCTCCCTTTTTGCCTTAGACAAAGATTTCAGTGTTCCTTTAAAGTCTGAATATAAACTCACATATGGAAACACTTTTTTTTATAAGGAGAAAGATTCTTCTAGGGAGTTAATACTGAAATGTGTTTGGAGCTTAACATTCAAATTATTAAACTGAGATTTTTAGTTATTCCTTCAACCACTATGAATTAAACTGAAAGCCAAACCCCTCTAAACTATTTCCTTGGGAACTTAGTAACTATTGATTAAAACTGAGCATTCTTTTAGAAAACACATTGTTCCTTTCTTTACAAGGTTTTATTATTTTTAAGCAAGCTGAATTAATTTAATTTGATTTATTTAACTAATTTAAATTTTATTCATTTAAACAAAGCTGTATTATTTTTAGCTAAACTGAAAGATGTTTAGATTATCAGCAAAACACCTCAGTTTTATATTAATGACTTTCCCTGCTCCCAGTCTACCTCTATTCTGTCAAAGGGACATTGTCTGCAATTTCATCTATATTTAGAAATTTAAACTAAATAGGAATCCCTGCTACACGAGACCAATTTTATTTATATAGTTGAATTATAGTTTCACAGCCAAAAGGCCTGGACTGAAATTGTCATTAATTTCATCATCAAAGACTCCGTTTGTGGGGGCAATAAGCTGACTTTGTATAAATATACAAAAGTATGAAGGCTATTGCTTAACGCATTGTAAGCCGCCCTGAGTCTCCGGAGAAGGGCGGCATATAAATCAAATTTAAAAAACAAAACAAAAACAACTCAAGAAACCTTCTGCCAACTGCTAAACTCAACATGTTTTCAACCACAACACATAGAAACCCTAATCCATACGGATTTGTAGCCCTGCACATCTGGAAGGTAGCAAGCTGGTTAGTGCAAAGTTTATTGTAAGACTAGTGTGGTTATCTGGAAGGCCACCTTTCTATTCTGCTGAAAACATCAGACACTGAAAAAGCTCTGAGTTTTATATAACCAGTTACCATCAGCCTAAATACAAAGATGTCTAGAAATGAATGTTTCAAAAAGTTCCCTCTTGAACCATTGGTCTGGTCAGAAAGTGAACCAGTGCAGTTTGTAATATCTGGGACCTGTCAATCAATCCGGGTGACATTTGAATAGCTGGATGCTTCCAAGAGTAATAAAAACTATAACAAAATCCAGAAGGACACAGATCAAATGGGAGTGTCGGGGGGAGGATCACATTAGCAATGATAAAAGAATCAGAAAGGAACGGAGGTTCTTTAGAGGACCTTTATTTTTCAAATTAGCATAATGACTTCAATATTATGTAGAGATGCCTTATAAAACTACTTCAAAACTTCAAATGTAATAGGATGTGTTTATGCAAAGAGAGGATGCTAAAGTAGGTGATAACATATATACTGTCACATTGCTTTCCATTTTCCAGTGGAAAGTATTAAGTAGATGAGCCATTCTCTCATTGAAATAAATGGTGCTTAAAATGTTATCTGCAGCTTGTTCTATGAAGTTTTAATGGTTCAGTGTTAATTTTATTTACCCAGGTCTATTTCTTAACTACAAAAATAGAGGTGTATAAGTGGTAATCTGTTATTTATGCACTGGATGGAAGGAGGATTATCAGTCTGAAAGCAAATTACATATCTATTGTGGCTCAGAAAAAGTGGTACTGGCCAAAAGGATTTAGGACATGGGTGTCAAACTCAAGGCCCACGGGCCGGATTCGACCCACGGGATACTTAGATCTGGCCCACAGGGCTGCCCGGGAAACAGTGAAAGACTGGCTTGCAGTCCCTCTGCCAGCAAAAACAGAACTTGAGATGGTTGTGTGCAGCTCTCCCGAGCTCCGTTTTCTGCTGCAATGGCCTCCTGCAACCCTCTGCCAGCAAAAACAGAGCTCGGGAGGGCTACACACGGCACTCCTGAGCTCTGTTTTTTTTCTGGCAGAGTGCTCAGGCCACCACAGGCGCCCCCGACATGAGTGATGTCGAGCTGGCCACGTCCCCTGCCCCCTCCCCCACCCTCCTGAGATCAAGCACAACCCTGATGCGGCCCTCAATGAAATCGAGTTTGACACTCCTGGTTTAGGATAATGGCTGCTCCCTTGCAACTTTAATCAGCCATGATAATCATCTGAATAAATATTTTTTCATCATGTCCAAAATTTGGTTTATTCTCCAAACTATGGAATCTGATAGCAAGATGTATTGTGAACATCAAGTCAACTGGGTGGAAAAGAAGTCAAGGAAGAAAATAGTGCAAAAGTTTTTGATGGTATAACACAGCATGCAAATTGGGCCTTTACTTGTTTGCAAGTACAAAAACTCCTGCAGTAGATCTTTGGATTACGGTATAACAAGTGTAGATATATCCTTTGCTTAAACGGCATAACTGATTATCATGGCAGGTGATTTGGCTTCCTTTTTTCTTGTTCATTTTGTAAACATACTTCTATTTTGATATAAATATTTTGCAGACATACGTCATTAAGTCCACCCTTCTGATCATGTATGTTCAAACAAGACAGTCTTTGAGAACTGACTTGTTTATACTATACGAGCAAATCTGATCACATATCCATTAAAGTGTCCACTTCTTCTTCTCATAGATTGAATGACTTTCTGCTCATGCTTCATGCGTCAGCAAAGATTGCACAACAAGTGGACATGTAGTGTGGGGCACAATGGATGTTGTTTTCCATAATAGTGCAAATATAAATTGGGAGCAAACCCCACTCCTTGCTAGCACTGATGATGTTACCTAGTTTGGGTAATGAAACGTGTACAAGAAAACAACCAAGCTCAGAGAGCACCAGGGACCCTTCATTTCAACCCTGAGCTACAAACATTCTTTATCAGTGCAAATTTGCCCATATGCCTGCATCGTCCTTGTTTGTATCCATGAGCTTCATAAATAAGTATGGACTTGCGGAAACAGAAACACAGTTACCAAACTAGCATCCTGAAGATATGCAGGATAAAATTCCCAGTCAACCTGGGTGCTGCCTCTCCTGGCTAGGAATTCTAAGAACATCTCTCCTGGACAAAGTGAGGCTGTGATGATTGATCTCAAAATGTTTATGTATTTATTTGTAAAACTTGTCTGAATTCAGCTAGTTGGTGTGAAGTTTACAGAGTTCATCAAATTGGGCAAAACCTAAGAAAAATAAAATAATAAAATATTAGTTAAAAATTTCAGAATTTTAAAAGTGGTGTCACAATATAATAAGCCTGAAGCCTCTATAAGAACCCTGTTTTCTTTTGTTTCTTGAAAGCCATGACTGTGGAGGTTATACATGGCTTCAGGGGGCAAGCTGTTCCTAAGGAGGAGGGCTACTACTGAAGCCATTTCCCCCCAATGAACATGCATGTGACACAGGAATATCTGTGCACATGTATATATTACTGCCCTCAACCAAAAGCAGAGCCAGGGCAAAGCAAATCAGTTAATTAAATTAAAAGCTATTAATTGAAATTAAATGCCTATAAAATAAAGCACCTTATTTACAAAATGATTTGATCTCTGCATAAGCCAACTGTTGTCTCATACTGAAAACACCCGCGGAGAGAATTATATACACACATGCCCACACACTCCCATCTCTTCTTCCAGGAGAAACGGCCAAAAAGAACAAAAGATCAGAGCAGGGCAAGGATGAGGAATAGCTGTATTTGGAAGGGAAGGGAAGGGAAGGGAAGAGGAGAGGAGAGGAGAGGAGAGGAGAGGAGGAGAAGAGAAGAGAAGAGAAGAGAAGAGAAGAGAAGAGAAGAGAAGAGAAGAGAAGAGAAGAGAAGAGAAGAGAAAGGGAGGAACAAGACTGGATGGACACAAGCTAAGAAGAACAGCAGAGAGAAGGCAACAAAAGGGAGCCAAGCCCTGTTTGATTAATTCCAAAAAGGGCAATTCACCAAACAGCCATTTCCAGCCAGCACTTAAACTCAGGCCAATCTGCAAGCCCAGCCATTCTTTGCAAAAGTGATGTTTGCAAGCCTTTGTTAATTCCTTTGTTTCTTTAAAGTTATCAGCTTTACCTATGGATATAAGATGGCTTCTCAATTCACAGGTAATTATTTGGGGGAAAAGACACTCCTTCCTATCCAATAAATATGAAATTATTTTATTTGTTTTCAAAAAGCCATGCCACAGAGAGTTTGAGAACTGCCTGGAGGCTAAGGGGATTGCCCAGGTTGGATCTAGGGATTTTTGATCTTGGTTTCCCGAGAAAGGGGTAATGACACAGAGTCTATCGTCTGTTGTACAGCACGTAGTCTCTTTTTTTGAGATATGTAGCTTGCTTTTTTCATTTTTGCTTCAACTCCCATAAAAGATATGATGATAAATTAGTGCAGGGGTGTCCTAAGTGTATGACTGGAAAAGTCAAGGTGGTGGGCAGAATAGTATAATCAGAGTTTGGCTAAAATTGTGACACACATGATAAAAAGGCAGAGCTTCAATTGTAATGTCATATCTGTTACCTTGAGGTTGTTTGTTTGTTTGTTTTACTACACTCTAGGGCAATCCTTGGATTAGTTTGTCTTGCAAACAAAAATAAAGTAAGATTAGTAACCAAGGACTAGTATGTTTTTATTTTTCAATTTATATAGCTGCCCATCTCACAAATCAGGTGACTCTGGACTTAGCCTCTTCCTTTAGAAGGAGTTTAGTTTAGTGGTGGATGGGTGCTTTGCATGGAGATCATCCCAGGTCCAGTTTCCTAGTGAACCCCATGAAAAAGGTCACGTAGGTTTTTTCAGCATCCCTGGAGAGCCAGGTGTAAGCCTGGTCATCAGAGAACTAACCTGGCCTGACATAGGGCTCTTTTTTAGAATCCTCCATCAAAGTTGAATGCAAGACGCAGGTCTCCATTTTTTAATACAAAATAGCCTGTCCTGTAATAGCATTTTACCTAAAAGTTTATCCTTATGTTTTAGTTTATATTTGTTAATTTGTTTATAAAATCAGAGGATTTTTTTTGTACTACTGGTGACTACCTGGACTAGTCCCTGCAGTTTCCTTGGCAAGGTTTTTCAGAAGTGGCTTGCTACTGCCTGTTCTCTAAGGATGAGAGTGAGTGACTGGTCCAGGATCACTTGGCTGGCTTCACATCTAATGTGGAATGAACTCAGTGTCTCCCGATTCCTGGCCTGATGTCTTAACCATTATTTCAAACTGGCTTTCTTTTAGTTATTAATAGGTCTTTACTCACCAGATGCTTCAGAGAATTCTTCTAAAACTGGGCTAAAAGCAGCAATGCTGCCTTCCTCCAAAACTTTGCATGGCCAGTTCACCAATGGTAATCAGTATTCAAAAGCATTCTCAAGCTCAGCCTTGTTTCACAGGGTGTCCTGTGAAGGGATTGACGGCAGCTTCCAGATAGGCCAGCTAACTGGTCTGGAGAAGGAGGTGACCTCCCAACTCACTTGGAAGGCATATGGTTGGAGAGGGTTGCTTTTCCCAGAAGGATGCCTAATTTAAATCTCCCTTTAAATAATGAAGGCTGATAGGAAAGGAGGGAGGGGCTTTAAAATTGATGAGTAGGTACAAAGGTCCTCTTATGAGAAATGGCAAATTTAATGCATATTCAAAATGGATCCATAATTTGACTGCCCCTTGATTTCAACAAGTGTTCTAGTTGTCTTTTTTCTTCTTCTAAATTAGAATACCCCAAACATTTCTGCTCACAGAAGGCATTTAACCCTTAAAGGAGGAGATCGCTATATCTCTATAAATGCACCACCTACCCGTCAATAGCAATAGCACTTAGACTTATATACCGCTTCATAGTGCTTTTACAGCCCTCTCTAAGTGGTTTACAGAGTCAGCATATTGCCCCCAACAATCTGGGTCCTCATTTTACTGATCTCGAAAGGATGGAAGGCTCAGTCAACCTTGAGCCAGTGAGATTTGAACTGCCAACTGCAGCTAGCAGTCAGCTGGAGTTAGCCTGCAATGCTGCACGCTAACCACTGTGCCACCTCAAGAAGACATTGTGTGTGTGTGTGTGTGTTTGTGTGTGTGTGTGTGTGATTCAAATTCAAATACATTTATTTATTTAATTCAGAAAGCTGTCCAACTTCATAAAAACATTAAAATGGTAAAAACCGAATACCAAAAAAAGAATGATATTTATCTAGAAAAATACCTTCAATTTAGCATACAAAATCCTTGCCCCTACACCCTCACCAGGGGTGGGTTCTACTTACCTTTACTACCGGTTTGCAACAGGGCCGAGCAGGCGCACACGCGTGCTCTTCTGAGCAAGCGCAGAAGCATTTGGATGACATCAGGGTCAGTGGGTGGAGCCTCCCGCTGGTTTTACTACCGGTGCTATAGAACCGGTGCGAACTGGGGGCAACCCATCACTGACCCTCACCCAGGGCCATAGGAAATAACCAGATTTTCAAGGACCTTCTAAACATTGTTGGCATGGGGGCAATAAACATCTCAAATATTGAATTTCTATTTGAACCTTGATCATATTCCTGACTCTATTAGAGTAGGCAGTGACCAGGGGACATGTGTGTCTTCTGTGAGAGGTAGTACCATTCTTTCTCATATTCTAAACGTACCACCCCAGAAGACCCATTGATTAATGTAGTGTCTCAGTTCAAGAGCTTACAGCATAATTTAGCATTTGGCTGCCCTTCTGATAAACTTGGGAGCCGAGCCACTTTCTATTTTCTGAAATGAAGAACTATAGAGGGTTGTCATTTAACAAGAATGCATATAATCTGAGCGATCTTTAAACAAAGTCTGCTTGGGGGTGATTGTCAGCAGAAGTCTGGCTATAATTTGAAGGTTTTTTTAAAAAAAGTATCTTGGAAGAATGAAAAAGATCAAGCAGGAGGGGTGAAACTGTTGAAGGCCTTGGCACAAAAGCCTTGTTTATTTATGAGAAAGAGTGAGTTATCTTCCTGAAACCATTCTTCTGAGAAATAAACCCACAAATCTTGGAGGGACACAGATTTAATGGACTACCCACATGACTGACTCCCTCCCCCCCCCGCCAGTAATGGCTAATTCCTTGTTACTATGTAATGGACAGCTATTATGAACTGCCCCGAGTTCTTCTTTTAGCATTTTTTTTATTCTTGATCAACAAATATCCTTTGCTAACTTGTTTGCTAGAGTTATATTCTTCCTTTTCTACCTTTCAAACTAGCAGTGCTCTCTCCTACCTTTTGTCTTCCCAGACTGTGAATCAATGGTGGGTTTCAAAATTTTTTATTACTGATTCTGTGGGCGTGGCTTGGCGGGCGTGGCTTGGCTTGGTGGGCGTGGCAGGGGAAGGATACTGTAAAATCTCCATTCCCTCCCCAATCCAGGGGAAGGTTACTGTAAGATCCCCATTTCCTCCAGATCAGCTGGGACTTGGGAAGCAGAGAATAGATGGGGGTGGGGCCAGTCAAAATTTTTACTACTGGTTCTCTGAACTACTCAAAATTTTCGCTACCTGTTCTCCAGAACTGGTCAGAACCTGCTGAAACCCACCTCTGCTGTGAGTTAGGTTGAGTGATTGGGCCAAAATTACCAAGTGACCTGCCATGGGTGAGGATGGATTAAATCCTTGGCCAGTTCAATCAGTCTTGATTTCAGGTAAAAGGCTGGTTGGATCCTTAATATTTTCATCTTATGCTCAGCTTATCAGACAGTTCAAAGGTACCTTCACTTCTGGGTATAGTGTTAGCCTACAGAGGAGGACAGGGGAAAAAAGTGAAACAACTCTTTCCCAAACTTTTTGGGGAATTCCAGACTCTTGGTCAAACTATTCTCACTGATTTATGGTCTTTCCTCTCCAAATATAATCCTTTTCACCAGCCAGGCTGCTCTGCACTGCTCCTTTTCTGATCCTGCTGGCTATTGAGATTTCACCTTCTTCCAGGGTTCGGTCTCCTGATACACAGTACCTTTGGTGTGCAGTATAACCACAATACCAACCTCCCCATTGTCTAGCAAAGCTTTCTCTTATATATTTTCTCCAAAAAGCAGATGTGCCTGCTTACAAATGCCTTAATTAGATAAGCTTCTCAGTGTCTAAGTAATATTTTGCATCAAATTGGCACCCAAATAAAACTTCCTTAACCTCAAGACCAATTTGCGAAACCGGTATGCATCACAGCATCTTACCCTGCCATACAATAGAACAGAATAGAATGGAATAACAGAGTTGGAAGGGACCTTGGAGGTTTTCTAGTCCAACCCCTGCTTAGGCAGGAAACCCTATACTATTTCAGACAAATGATTGTCCAGACTCTTCTTAAAAACTTCCAGTGTTGGAGCACTTCTGTTGCATACAGGTCTGCAAAAATAACATGATGGTGCTGAAGATGCTGCCCAGCAAAATCAAGGTGTTAATCCATATGTAGATATCGAAGGTGGGTATGGAAAGCAGTCCAGGCTTGGTAGTGAGAGCCTCACAATTCACCTTAGCCAAACCTGGTGAATCTTCTGACAACAGCAGGGCTTAGTTGGCTGGGTCATCCAGCTAGCACTTAAAGTACTTTCTGCTAAGTGGTGCCACTCTCAAGGAAGCCCCACTCACTCTTGCATCCCAGGCTGGAGCCTGCTTCTGAGATGATACCAAGCTCTCTAAGGAAGCACAGTGGGGAGATGAGTCTTGGCCAGGGAAGGCAGGCCAGGAGGTTGGGCCTGCCCGAGAGAAGAAAGGAGACATCCACTGTGGAGGAGGGCTTGGTCTGGCTGCATTCTGCAAAGGTCTGTCAGCCAAGTGAGGAGTGGGAAAGATAATGAAGAAACAGGCAGGCAGGCAAGCTCTCTTTGCTAAGGAAGAGTAACGAGGGAGGAAGGCCTCTGCCAGACAAGGAGAACAAAAACGGGAAACTGGAACAAAAGACCAAAGGAAAGAAAGTTCTCTCACAAGAAGAAACAATACATTTGAATTTGAGATCCTTGCACTAAATGAACTAAATAAAACACATGGAAAAATTAATGAGTATAACAGGACACCACCCAAAAAACCCCCATATTTTTAAAGATGTTTGCGTGTGTGTGGGTTTGTTGTATGAGAAATGAAGACAGAAGATGTCAGCATTTCATAAACAACTGACCACGTAGAATTTAAATCCAAATGGCAATTTTGAATGTTGCACTGACAGTTGAACAGACTCTCAATCCTACAATTAAACAAACTTTTCAGCCATCGGTAGTTTTAACTGTCAAAAGACCTCCAAATATTTGTCTTTTCTCCCTTCTCCCTCTGACTTAATTTCCTCTCTAGATTATTGGCAGGCTCAATAAAAAGTAAAAAATCATTTCCTTTCCTGTCACTTATGGCTATATTTTGTTTCATTACTGAAAGCAGACTTGTAAGGGAAAGTGTCAGATTATCCCATACTTGGAATTTTCCATCCCTTATCCAAAATCCCTTTGAGTCAAGACAGGTGATGTGTTAGTGACCTCCTTGAATCACAAACAACTGGAGGAATCTGGTGGAATCCTATTGGTTTTGCGGAACAGCTTTCCACAGCTTGGTGCCTCAAATGTATTGAATTCCTGCTCCCATCATCCCCAGTCAGTATAGCTCAGCATTTTTCAGTCTTTGCATCTTTAAGATGTGGGGACTTCAACCAGCTGGGGAATTTTGGAATTGAAGTGCACACATTTTAAAGATGCCAGGTGGAAAAACACTGGCATAGCTAATGACCCCATGATGGCTGAGGAGAACAAATTGAGCCCCATGATTGTAAATGTACTATATAGATACTACTTTGCCATAAGAATGCAGCAAAGGGCCCAATGAATGTCTCTCAGACATTCCTGGTCTAGTTGTAAAACCCACTTCTACGTTAAAACTAGAGCTCAACTTCAAAGAAAGCATCTACCTTTGTTCTATTGCAATCAGTGAAACATAATAATCGGAACTTGCACAGTGGATTTCTTAAACACATTAGAGGAACTAAATTCCTCTAGATTTATTGGACCTGTGATGAGAAATGAAAATGTTGAACTAAATTTCTTCTGATCCACACACATTTTACCTAGCCCTCTAAATATATCTATACAAGAACACAGGATTCAAAATTGCCTTTCACATATAGACCTACTGTACACTAGAAATATAGCAGTTTTCCATTTATGATCACAATTGAGCCCAAACTTTCTGTTGCTAAGCAAGACAGCTGTTAAGTAAGTTTTGCCCATTTTATGATCTTTTTGCCAACGTTGCTAAGTGAATCACTGTAGTTATTAAGTTAATAACACGGTTAAGTGAATCCCATTGACTTTCCTTGTCAGAAGGTCACAAAAGATGATCACATGACCCCGGGGACACTGCAATTGTCATAAATATGAATCAGTTGCTGAGCATCTGATCACATGACCATGAGGATGTTGCAACGATGATATGAAAAACAATCATGTCATTTTTTTCCAGTGCAATTGTAACTTCAAACAGTTACTAAACGAATGATTGTAAGTCAAGCATTACCTGTAATGTCATGATGTATGAAGAGCAAAATTTGAATAACTTCACATTGAAATTCTACAGTAGATTCCACTTTTCAGCTAGAGCTGAGCCTCCTGCAGTGAAGACCTAAATATATGTTGTATTACTAATGTGATTACCATGAGGTCATTTTTTTAATTAAGTAATAAATTGTTTATGTTAACAGCTCTATAAACAATAACATCCCACAGATTAAGTCAATACATTTTAATGTCTTACAAAGCAAGGACATTACACCAATATATTGCATTTGCAAGATTTGTATTTTCCATAGTATCTCATAATATGATTTAGATGGTTGTGGTTTTTTTCAGTATGGTAATGACTTTATAAAAGATTTATGGAAACAACCATTTGTCTCTTTTCATTTTAGTGATTTCAAGCGATGCGTTAATTTTTCCATTGGAAGCGTTATCAAGTCCATTCTCAGATGCCCTTTTTACAGGTTACCAATATATTTTGGTTTCTAATCTGCCAATCAGTAATAAATAAATGAATATATTAATATATTAATGGTGCCTTACTTTTCAGATTTCTATTCTTACCAGAAAATAACAGCAAGAGACCTAGATATGTTTCTTTTTCTATTTTTCATATGTAATAGTACAATTTCCTAAAACACCATATCCAAATATTTAATGATAGCTAGAGCATACAAAAAGTATTTTTGCCTTGGCAATCCTTCCAACATCTATTTATATTGGTTTTCATAGGTTTAAAATTTTAATTGGAGTGATATGTCAACTGTGTAAATCTAAATGCCATTTGGACTAAGTATTGAGAAGAGCAACACTTAGGGTGTTTGTTTCCATATTTGGATCAATCCTAGTATTTCTCTCTCAAAATCTAATATCTTCTTCACTAATTTCTGAAAGTTAAAGATTGGCCCACAGGATGAATTATGATTGGTATAGTAGCACATGGGGAAAAGTGGCTTAAACTGCTACTCCTACTCCATAATCTAAATGAAACAATTGCCATAATTTTTGATTGTACAGTAAAACAATGTTCCCTGAAAGCTATTTAATTTCAAATCCCTATGTGACTGTTAATCGCATGGCTAACATACATTTATAAAAAAATAACATATTCTTTAGAACACAGACATTTTATCTGGACTATCTGAAAATAAAAGTTAAGTATTTTTCCCACAGCATTGTAAACTATTTTATTCTCTACTTTATTTAAGAATCAACCAACCACGTAATGAGCAATAAAAAACCCACTATAATACAACTGCTTTTTTTACCACTGAAATTAGTGGGTTTCAGTGTATCTAAGACCTCATCAACCACAGTGCTTGCCTGGATTAAGATTATGGTAAATCTGAAAATTTTATCTCAAAAGTTGTAAATTGAGTCAGAAATTCCGTACAGTTACAAGCAGATTTACAAACCAGGAAGCAGCCAAAGAAACCAAAATAGAGAGAATTTAAGGACATCATTCAAACTCCAAGGAAGCTCTTTGGATCTAAGAATTCTAAAATAGGAATCCCTAGAAAGCTTCACAAGTAGGATGATTCTTAAATACCCTTGGTCTCTGGCTCTAACTGTGCACAGCTGATGTTCCTGGTCAGTCCTGCTTCATTTCAATAGATTACTCCCAAATAGTCCTGCCAGGATTAGCTGTCTTTTAACAAAATAACAAAGTTTGAAGAGACCTTGGAGGTCTTCTAGTCTAACTACCTGCTCAAGCAAGAAACCCCATAACATTTCAGACAAACGGTTGTCCAATCTCTTCTTTAAAACCTCCAGGGTTCGAGCATCCACAAGAAAGTTGTTCCACTGATTAATTGTTCTAATTGTCAGGAAATTTCTCTTTAGTTTTAAATTGGTTCTCTCCTTGATTAGTTTCCATCCATTGCTGCTTGTCCTGCCTTCAGGTACTTTGGAGAGTGACATAGGTGAGCACTACTGTGTCTTTTCACTGTGCTTTTGACAACTGGGTTTAGCAGCCTTTTGAATGAGACAGGAGGTTCATCCTCTTAAATCCCTAATCATGGCATGAATGTGCCCCAGGATCTTTCTTTTTTTTTTTTTTATGATGTCTTCATGATGTTACCAAAAACAGATGGCAATTGGTATCACTCCATCGTTGTTCTTCACTACAGCATTAATTTTTATATGAGGTTTAAAATTAGTTATGTTAAATTATATTTAACTTTTTAAGCAAGGTGAACATTGTAATAGAGCCGTGATGGCAAACCTAATGGCACGCGTGTCAGAGGTGGCATACAGCGCCCTCTCTGATGGCACGCGAACTATCACCCCAATTCAGCTTTCCTGTGCATGTGTGTGTGCCTCCTGCCAGCCAGCAGGTCTTCGAGTCTCTGCTGTGCATGTGCGGGGGGCGGGGCACGTGCATAGAGGCTGCGCGCATGTGCAGGGGGGGCAGGGCGCGTGTGTTGGGTCCACACATGCATTGCATTTTAGGGGTTTGGGTGCACACATGTGCATTCACGCATGTGTGCCCTCACTTTGGGCACTTGGTCCGGAAAAGGTTATCCATCACTATAATAGAGTGTCAACCTGCATAGTGGAACAGTCAGGCTGTGGCCTAGAAGGCTGAAGGACTCAAATGTACACCCTACAGGGGTGTACATGTTGATCCTGTCTCATGCTTTGGGCTGGGAAGATTTGTCTTAGGGACGTCCTCAACTAGGATAGGCCCACCTGTTATCTACCATTTGAAGCTAATGGCCTTTTCACATGCCCCTGTTCTTGCTCTGCCACTTATATGCCAATCTGAGGGATCCCACTAAATTGTCTTCCTACTAAACTGCTTCCTGCTTACCTCATAATGTGATAGAGATAGGGCTCTCACCACTTATGCCACCTTGCTAATTAAAAGGTCAATAAGTAAAGAATATTGTTGATACTGCTACCTCCTCGCCACATGGCATAGAGGTAATATGACAAGAGGTTTCAGCCCATCCTTCCTTAATTAGAGAAAAGACAAGCCACACCAGAGATATTAAAGCTAAAGTCATTATAGTCATGCCAGAGATCTTTATTTAAAAAGAAGAGAGAAGGTATAACCAACCTCCTTTAATCTCACTTTCTCAATGTTTGAAGGAAGATTTCAGGCCCCTTGAAGCAGCTTACAAGCAAGAAAGCAAGATTCTTAGATCTGAATCAAAAGGTTTATTAGAAGGGAAAACAGTGTTAAGTTACAGAATATTGGAAACCGGATATGTGTATTTTGGCCTTCATTTATCACTGAGTATTGTGCATTTCCAGACACTGTTTTCCTTTACAGAGAAATCCAATTAGGAGAAGAGGAAGTAGTTGAATGCTGGAAAGATTGCTGTTTTTCATGCCCTGCTGAGCTTGTGCCAAGAGAGCAGAAAGTGAGTGATGTTTCACTATTCTTCCCATCTCCACTTTTTTCATTGTTTTACTTATTTCCTCCATTGGAACCAACAGGAAGAAAAATAAATGTAGCATCCCCAAAGGATAACATACTGCTCTCTTTCCATTTCTGGAGGCATGTTTAAAAAGTAGTTGTACCATGGAGAAGTTCAAAGATTCTATTCATGGCATCTCCAGCTAGGGCTTTAAAACTCCTTCGTAAATCTGCTCCTTATAGCTGGTGACAATAATGAATGGGTAGATCAGATTATCTGATGATATAAGACAACTTCCTAGATTCCTATCTTTTTCTTCGTGTGAAGTCTTCGGTGCTTCTTCTTCCTTTCCCCCTTTTGCTCTTTCTGCCATCAGAGCACCCCCATCAGTCAGCAAAGGAGAGAAAGGCAGCAGATCTTCCTACAAATGCAGGGAGCAAGCAAGAAGGCAGAACCAGGGGTGAAATGCTCCTGGTTCGGACCGGATTGCCCGATCCGGTAGTGATGGTGGTGGGTGGTTCAGAGAACCGGTAGCAAAAATCCCTGTGCCACCCCCCCTCACCATGCCCAGTTGAGCTGCATGATCATCAGAGGCTTTTTTTTTAAACTTTTAAAAGCATTTTTTCTACAATCTCTTCCGATGAAAAAATGCTTTTAAAAGTTAAAAAAAAAGCCTCTGATGATCGCGCGGCTCAGCTGGGATCATCAGAGGCTTTTCAAAGCATTTTTTTCTGCAACCTCTTGGACGAAGAGGTGGTAAAAAAAATGCTTTGAAAAGTCTCTGACGATCCCAGCTGAGTTCCTGATTGGCAGAGAGGCTTTTTAAAGCATTAGAAAAAATGCTTTGAAAAGTTAAAAAAAAAAAGTTGGCCACGCCCACCCACTCACATTACCCCACACCCACACCAAGCCACGCCCACAGAACCGGTAGTAACAGATTTTACATTCTCCCCCCCCCCCCCCTGGGCAGAATCTTTTGGTGAACTGAATGCACCTCCTTAGATTCTTCCATTTCCAAGGGGCAATGAGTTTTATTGTTAAATAGAAATCATAACTCATTTCTGGTTGAGAGGATTTTGAGAGCAGCAAGGACTCCCCGTCCTCATGTTCTCCAGGTGTTATTTGGGAGGGGGAGGGGCATTGTGCTGGCGTGTCCTCATGTGTTATTTCTCATAGCTAATGTGCTTTTTTGAAAAAAAATCATATCTCTTCTTTCCTTCCCACCATATTATCCAGGGAGTTCCTCTGACTAAACAGAGTGAGTAAGAATTTGTTGGAGTCCATTCTGGTAGCAATAATGAGCCTCACACTAGTCAACAGTGCAAAGGCTGTATTCTCAATTCAGAGTCAAATATCACCATGACTCATCTCTCTCCTTTTAATTGTCTGTGCTTGCCAAGGAATTAAGCACTTCTTCTGTCTCTCCCATATCCTCAATTAAGGATGTTGCAGAAATAAAAGTCATTGCATATATCCAAATCATTTACATATGTTGAGATCCGTGAGATTTATTTGGATGTTACTCTTGGCAAGATAAATTGCCCTAGTTCAAAGATTTTTAAAAATGCCTGCCTATCAAGTTTTAAGAAATGCAGATCTTACACGGATATTCTACTTCAACCTAGCTGCTATTACAGTTTCATTGATGCCTTTTCAAAAGGTTCCTGTATTCTTGTGGATTAGCAAATAGCTGCTAGGGAAAAGGAATTATAGTATCCTGAAATATGGTGTTATTTATATACAGCAGCCCACTATATATCAAATGGAGTGCCTTGCACAGTTCAAGATTTTGCTTATATGCCTTACAATTGGGAGGATGAATCTAGGTAGGCTGTAGTAAGTGGTATTGGTGGCTGCAAAAATTCAGACTACCACTAGATGACAGCAGGGATACTTTTGCAGTTTTCTAATGGTTGTCTGGGTTTTTGCAACCCAGACATGGTTGCTGTATTTTGGAAAAACTAATATTACCTAGTCTCAGAATAATCATTGTGAAATTTGGCCAGGGCCAAAGCATAGAAATTGCTTTGCTTTTTTCTTATTTTTTCCCATCATGCTTGCAAGATGTTGTGCATGACAAATGAATGACTAAACTAATCACCGAGATTAATGCCTTAGAATATTTCATGTAAGAGCAGGAAAGGACTTACAGAGGATCTCAATGGATGAGGCAGGGTATAGTTCATTTAATTTCAGAGCAGTGTAATTTTTATGTTCTGTAATTTTGAAAAGATTATTAACTTCTGACTATAGGGAAGTAACAGTAGATTAGAGCTAGGGCACATCGATTTTCTAGTACACTTAAAAGACTGTTTTAGATAACAGTCATGGCACCGTTGTTTAAAGCAGTGCATTTATTCACTGTCTATAGATGTTTATGGATCTACTAAGTAGGAAGACATTGAGTCAATATGCCACGGAAGGACAAGACCATGGCAAGTAGATACTCAAAGCTTCTGCTACGATTGCTGCTGCAGATAGCTAATGAAACATTGTAGGAAAAGTATCAAGTGGCCTTCAGAGCAGCAGGATGAGGTAAGATATATGTAGTCAACCCCACCCAGTCAGCTACCTGAGCCCTATATTCTCTGGTAATTCATAGGAGCCCAGTACTCTTATCAGTGCACATCAACAAGAGGTCTCAGGTTGAATGAAGGCTGACTGACTTTGTAAGAGGACTAAAGACTTCACTTTCTTAATTTGGGAAAGAGTTATCATCTAGCACATAGCAGGACTCAGGTTGTTTACTTCAAGTCTCTGTCATGCTCCATTCTTTCTCTTTAGTTAGTTTGCATTCCTCTGCCCCAGTTACACAGCTTCCTTGACCCAGTGAACGATACCCTAAGTTTGTCAAGTGCCTATTCTGAGCCATGGTGACCCATGGTGGCCCAGTGGTTAGAATGCATTACTGCAGGCTATTTCTGCTGACTGCTGGCTGCCTGCAGTTTGGCAGTTCGATTCTTACCGGCTCAAGGTTGACTTGGCCTTCCATCCTTCTGAGGTCGGTAAACTGAGGGCCCAGATTGCTGGGGGCAATATGCTGACTCTGTAAACCGCTTAGAGAGGGCTGTAAAGCACTGTGAAGCGGTATATAAGTCTAAGTGCTATTGCTATTGCTATTCTTGCAATGTCACCTCTCTCTTATCAGCATGCTACTAAGCTACCACAACTATACCTTTAGATGTTCCAGTATGGAAGTGGCATTTTCCATGAGATACTGGCACAAAGCATTCCATGTGGACAATTTACTAAGGTGATGTTTCTCAATCTTAACAACTTTAAGACAGATGGATTTCAATTCCCAGAATTCCCCAGCCAGCTGCCAAAATTGAGAAATACTGATCTAGGGAGGTGGAGAACAAAGCTTGAGATGATAAATTTGGAGTCGGAAGATCTGATCAGCTAACATATTGCTCCCTGGTCACTGGACTTTGCTCCTGTTCTACAATGCTGTTTTGATTGTTCAAGAGACCTGGACTTCAACTTCCACAGTTACTTGATTTATTTTTAGTGGGTAAATCAACTAACTGAGCTAATAGTAGTTCCTGCCTTGATTGCAACACTGGGCAGCCCAAATCACATTGGAATCCCACCTGCTGAAATCCTGCTGTTGAATATCAGTCCTTTTGTGCTGCATGAAAAGGGAGTCATTTGTTCACAGTGGGGGTGGAAGATGCATACTGGACCTTCCTCTATATTGTACCATTATTCTGGCTATGAGGGACCAGAGCTTTGGCTTCCAAAGCTGCTTTATTTGCTGTATTTTCAAGGTAGATCAATCTATACATAGGCAAACTATTTTTTTTCAAACTTCAACTTTTCAGCAACACTTATCCAGTAGCTGCCTCTCATCTGCACAAATGCAAACAACTATAAGGAAGTGGATCAAACTGTCACTAATCATTTTGGTGAAAAAAATGTGGATGAACCCAGAGCATCCTACAAGTTACCAAATCCCAAGAATATTTATGCTGACTCCTCTTGACTGCCTGGACCAGCGGTTCTCAACCTGGGGGTCGCGACCCCTTTGGGGGTCGAACAGCCATTTCACAGGGGTCGCCAAAGCCCTCTCTCGCTCCCCCCCCACACCTTCACTCACCCTCACCCTCTGCCTCTGTCGGATCGCCCGGTCGCCGTTCGCTTACCCCGCCCACTCCCAATCTATTGCTGCCTCCGGAGTCCCAGCTGATGGCTAGAGGGAAAAAAAACTTTAAATTCTTGCCGTGGGGCTTCAAAGAGCTAGCTGCAAAGAGGTAAATTCCTGGAGCAAGTTTTTTTCCCCCTAACTATGCTGAAAAGAGAAAGCGAAAGCAGGGTCTTAGCTGTAACGTGACAAAATGAGGCAGAGAGATTTCTTTTTCTTTTTCCTCACCAAAAAAGGTAGGTACAAAACTGCAAACAATGGGAAATTTAGGGCAAGTGGAGGTTCAAGATTTTAAAACACAAAAGAAAAAAAGCTCTATTTAACTAGAGAATTGTAATAATTGAGATACTATTAACTGTATATTGCGTTGAAAGCAGAAACGGTTAAATTGTGGTTTGGAGGAATATATGGGGGAAATTATTTGGTTTATTATTATTGGTAAATATAATTAATTGATTTGTAAGAAATTGGATTGCATGGAAATAATTGGAATATTCATGTTCATATTGATTAATATACAAAAAAAGATAGTTATATAACTAATTGATTTATATTAAAATGTTGAATTTGTATTAAACAACTGTATTACATAATTAACCAATGTGAGGATGGATATGAAAATAGATGACAATGCGAAGGGGTATAATATAGAATAGAAGGGAAAAATTGAATTTGATTAAGATTAGAGATGAGGATGAAGGGTAATATTGGTTTTTTAAAAAAATAGATGAGGAATAAATATGGTAAAAAGGAAATATAGAAATTGTAAATTTAATTGAAATGACTAAATACTGTGTTGGAAGAAATATCCTTCTGGGTTCTGCTCCAAGTGGGGAAAAAGACACTGGAAACATGGAGA